AAAACATAGTGATGCAACCTGCACATATCTGAGAAGAAATTCGAAGATATGTGTGAAGTCAACCAACCCGCACTTGGCCAGCGTGGTTGACTATGGCCTAGTCACCCGTAACATAGAGTAGGCTCCAAGCCCCTCGGTGGGGACGTATAATGAGCTGATGATGATGATGTCAATACATTCACTATATTTACAACTAGATAAATGAAATTGTTTAATGCTAACTGTAACTTAACATTAAGATTATAAATATTAACAAAAGTATTTTTCTAGTCTAGCAACAGTTGATGACGAGATGAAAGTGTGCGCGGATCTGATCATAAAGTTTGTTCACGCTGTATACCATGAGGAGCCGGAACAGCAACTCAGCTTCTACGTCGACTGTCGCGCAGCATTCATCAAACTGGACGCCGTCCTCGTCGCTTTGGTTCACGTTAGTTTATAATTACTCATGTTTATTAATAAAACTAGCTGTCACCGACGACTCCGTCCGCGTCGAATTAAAAAAATACTTAATAAGTAACCAATGTGTTTTTCCAGACTAAATTCTATACGTATGCCAAATATTATCGATTTCCATTCAGTCGTTTTGGAGATACCTTCAAACAAATATCCATCCATCCATCTAAACATTCGCGTGTATAATATTAGTAAGATAATATGAAGTAATAAAATTTCCATGTTAGAACTTTGATATGTTTTTTAAATACAAGTAAAAGGTGGTTTGGTAATATTAGGCAGTGAATGCGCTGTCGTGTCGCGCGGGCGGCGAGACGGGGGAAGTGGGTGCGGTGGGCGTGTCTGGCAGCGCGGGTGGGCGGGGTCGGTGGGTGCAGCGCGCGTGCGCAGCATACTGCTGCGTGACTGCGCCGTCGCTGCGCTGCGGGCTTGCGCGTGCGCACCTCTACCTGCTCAGCGGACAGGCCGCGCTGCTTAACGGATGCATTGGACAAGGTAACAACTATACAACTTTAATAACCAAACACTTAAATGATGTTATGACAACGCCTCTATTTATTAAACTCACAACTATCAAATGAGTTACAGATGAATAAAAAAGATAACATGAAGAAGAATGATAGAGATGGCTAATTTTTTATAATTGCTTACAGCTGAAGCGAATTTCAAAGCGTTGGTGGGGATAATACCAAATATTCCTCAATATATCAAAGAGGACGGGCAAGACAAGACCACACACGACAGGATGGCCGGTCTGCTCAGCAACTTTCTGTCTACTTTGCTTATACTTCCTGTAAGTTCTAAGTTATAAAACTAAATAAAAAAGTTGTTTCATAGTTGCAAGCAATTACTTACCGAAAATTGATGATACTTAGACTCAAGAAAATCGTTTGTGACTTAAGGACTCTGAGTATGGGAGTTACGACTACCCTGCATACAAAAATGGTGTGTTTATCTTTATTTGCAGGACAACGTGGACAGTAATCGTAAAGCTTACGTACTGAGTGGTTTTATAAAAGTTCTAGAAAGAGTGCAGTGGAAGAAGACAGACCCGCTCTATTACAACTTATTACTTAAGACTTTGGATTTGCTCTGCCATATGACGAGAGAGAAATACATATATACCATTGACTCTGGTTTGTAATAACTTCTTATATTTTTTTTAATTTATCCTTGATATTAATTTTTTTTAATAATATTTAATAACGTATACTGGAGTTCGGCTTAAATTTTATTTGTTTCTTTTCGTTTACGGTTTTCTAACACATGAAAATATTTATACTTTAAATATACTACCTAATTATTGAATTGTAAAAATATTGACAGTGATATCAAATGACGAATTATATGGTTCCGAAGAAGAGTTTATCGAATGCATTGAGAAATATGCGACTCATGTATGCCAAGAAATATTAGTCGTGTTGAAAATGCTAGGAGATAATAAGGAGACGAAGAAACAATACAATCTAGGTCTGGAATTATTCTGGCGAGTGGTTAGACGAGGTGACCTGAGTGATCCCTCCATGTCAAGTCTGGCCGCTAACTTGTGGATGTTGACACAAAAACTGCAAGACCACAATAAGTATGCGGTGAGTTCATACAATGAAATAATTAAAAAAAAATCTTTAAATACAGATATACAAGATTATCCGAACTGGTGGACATAAGTCAAACTAAATTATGTCAGCTCACTAGCGCCCCTCTGTCGACGTCATAAAGATTCTCTGTACTGTGGTTGTCATTTCATTTTTTTTTGTATCATTTTTTATCTCTAAGTAGGTTTTATATGTATTCTCACAAAAGCAACCGCGATAGTAGCGCCTCTCACCGGTTCAGATATCATGTTTGACTATAATTGAAGATAAAATAAATAAAAAAGGTAGCGCGTTTTTACGTTCTCAGACCTTACATTTAACGAAATCTTTATCTAGATTCTTTAAATGACTATTTGTAGAATTTATGTCATGATTGTAATGTGTGTAAAAAACGTTAAACAATAGTAAACGTCCTAGATTTTGAACAAAACCGTCTATAATAAAAGACACGAAATAAACCACCTTTTTATACAAACACGAAGTATTACAACATTTTTAGATTAAGTAAAACGATACAAATTGAAAATGTATTCTTTTTATAATAATATATTTATTTTTATAAATTGTGAAAATCTAACAATATATAAACGTGGTGACGTTTACAACACAGTACGGTGCCGTATTGTATCGTGACGTCATGTCGTGTCGTGTCACTTCGCGGAATGAAACGGTACGCTATGGTAAATTTCGTTATTGAATATTCTAATTGGTGATAAATGAGTACATTATTGTTACAGAAATCAATGCTAACAGCTTTAGAGGCGGACAGCAATCCTGCTTCGCGACAATTACTGCATAAATTAACAAGCGTATGAAATCATAAATTACATTCCATTTGTGTGTTTTTACCATTATTATCATAATTATAAGGTTATTAAAGATATAATGAATACATGTATATGTTTGTTTTATTTACTCTAGTCATGTTAAGGCAGTCGTAGAAGTAAGATTATTTTATTTGGCCAATGGAAACAGATTTCAACTGAAGCTGATTTTAATATTTTTTAATTTTGAACTTTTGCAACTATTAATAACTAACTGTTATTTTCATTTTTTTGTTAAAAGTATTAGTAATTTACCGAACCGAATTAAAAAAAAATCTGTCATTAACTTTCTATGCAGTTTACTGGCAACTGATACTTTGGCCTCTTGCCAATTCGGTCGCGGCGAGTATCTACTGCTTGCTGTAAACCTTCATAGAAAAAATCATACAGCAAGAGAAGCATACAATCTTTGAGTAATTTTAGAATTTTATACAGAATTTTGATGATTAAAATAAATAAACAATAAATAACATTCTGAACCAACGTTAGTTAAGGTGAATATACACTAGACCATTTCTGTGTAATGTAACGTTCTTACAAATGGTCATCTTCATACGTGGTTTGTGAAAGGGTGATACACTAGAACATGTCATATAACGCCGTACAGACTAGAGCATTTTCTTAGAAAGCTAAGAAAATGCTCTAGTCTGTACTCACCTTTATGCGTTTATTTGATTTGTATGGCGTTGCAATAAAACGTCACCATCGCACCGCCCGTATGGCATGTTCCATATAAGTGTATTGCCTCGCATGTCGGTGACCTCATGTTTCACATCCAAGTTCCTTATTACATTTATTTTTTAACTGGAAAGATGCCAAAATATTGAAAGCTCGTCAATACAAAATGCGTATTTGTATCGTCTTAATTCGATCCATATCGACGGATTAAAAAGGTATAAGCCACTAAGACAGAGAGTGGAAGAATCTACTGAATGAGTGACAGAGAATTGCCCCTTTTAGGGGGGAATAGATCCGAGCTGAATACACCACTAAAGTAACTAAAATTATCGAAAAAAATAAGAATATAAAACAAATATCTAATACAAAGGATTTAAAGTTCAATGCATCGATTAATTAAAAAAATGTTGAATGTTGTCGCAAAAGTGAAATCAATATTTTCCCTTAGGGCGTAATTATGTAAAACAGTTTAAAAGGAGTTGCGTAAATGTTCTGTTTCAAAACCTTTCTAGTTTAAATTGATCAGTCGTTGCGAATGAACAAACACTTCGTTACAGATTTCTAACTTTAGAAAAAAATATTGACTTGCTTTATTATGTCTTCATAGTTATAAATACATATTACAAGAAATAAAGCCACTGAAATCAACATAATAGATGTGTTGTTGTTACTCCTAATATTTTTACCCGTGTTCTTGCATTTTATTGCGGTCTAATTTGGCGATATTAGTTGGAAATAAAGTTACACAAATCTACTCTAGCATCTAAAAGAGTGGCTTTGTGGATAGTTCGACTGATGAACACTTAGCTTTAGAATACGTTACAAAATCAAAAAGCAGTAGAGACTAGAAATTTATCCATTGGTTAGTCTGTTTTACTGAGATGTCTTATTCTTTATTAGATGGCAGAAAATTAAACAAAAATGCAAGTTTCGATATACGTAGGCGATGACGCGTACACTAGAGAAGCTTTTGGACCTCATCATCGTCAACCTGCCCTACGAAGGGTCGACACAGTATGAACTACTCCACACATCTTTATCAGTCCTCCCCTTCTTACAGAATACCTCTTTCACACAATTCATCCATACCTTCTTTGGTCTCCCTCTACTTTTGCAGCCATCCATATTCAATTATTCATGTGATTATTCCACCGCATACCATGTATTGGACCTCCTAACATAAAATCAGATATGTTGAAGTTGTCATAGGTACTTACGTCTCCTGTCGTAGAAAGTGGTGAGTCGTGAAGTATTGTTTATTGCAGGTGGGTGAGCTTAGCAGTCAGCAGTTTGTCAGCGCCGGCGGATGGGGCAAGCGGACATTGTCCGGCGACACGCTTCACTGCAGCTCGCGCTCGGTTGCGCCGATCTTTCACCTGCGCAATATTGTTGCCTATAAAACCTTGTCATTGCCATAACATGACGTTACTTTCATCTCAAACCAAACCCGACAACGACTCGACTCGCCGAGGAGTTGCTTACTTTTAAATAATTTATTTGGGTGCAAACCCAACATATAAAATGGCGTATTGTCTAAGACTGGTACATTTTAATTATATATTAAGTTCAATATATTTATATATAGAATATTATTTTTTTTGTAAACAATGAAGCATTATTCTTGTTGCAGTTAATACTCTGGGTGGTGTGTGTTGGAGTTTATTCTAATGAAGAGAATAGTGACACCGGATTTGTGCAATCATTGGATTTTGGACCTATCTTTAATTCCGACGATTCGGGTAAATCATTGTTTTAACGTAACAAATTATTAGGAAATGCTTTGTAGTTGCTAACACCGCTCATGTAGATAACTAACAAGTAGACGAATCTAATAAATTTGTGAATTCAAGTAAATATTATATAAACTTTATTTTTCTTAATTTATGGTACTATAAGACAAAACCTATTATTCTGTATGAACAATAATCGGCTTTTTTCAGGCATTGTTACCTTGGCTTCGAATCCCGTAGCCGCGGCAATAGCAAACGCTGATAAGAGTCAATATCCTAGATTGTTTGATTCTCTTGTTAGTAGTTCTATTGATTCATTGCATAGTCGTCTAGCGCCAAAAGAAAATGTGTTTTCCGCTTCAAACTTTGGCTTTAATCCTATCGCTAGTCAGAGCTTTTACCCCCAGCCGCAATCAGCGAAACTAACACAGCCGCAAAAATCATCCGCCCACCAGATAGCGCAAGGGCAACTCGCGGGTCCTTTGAGATACGACATAAGGACAGTTCATGATGCAAATTACAAAGTCTTTAATCCCGAAGAAAGAGAAGAAGGGGGAAACATTTTGGAAGCTTTGAGAAAGGATCCTTCGGTTGCCGCTTATTTTCAGCCTGCAGTTACTAACGTCGAAGTAGCGCATCCAGTAAATTATCGCAAGGAAGAGCTAATAGATAACCCCGATGTCGAACCAAACTACAAGGCACATACTTACATTGCAGGACCATCCAGAATTCGGCGGTACGCTGGAGGAAGAAAAAAAGAAAACGGAAGAAGAAGCAGCAACGAGGAAGATGAGGACCCTTACAACTATAAAGCGGAGTACATTTCCAGACCCAAAGCCTTCGATGAAAGTCCCTACAGCAGTGCCTACAAAGAAGAAAAAAATCCGAAAAAGGATTACGAATACCCCTACAGTTATGATTCCGGTTATGATCACAAAGAATACGAAAGAATAAAAGAGTTGTCTGAAAAGCAAGCCGCTGAAATTAAACAAAATCCCGGGAACTGTAAGGAAGTAAAGAAAGACACCATGACATGTATGTCTTGTAAAGACCCAAAAACTGGTGGAAATTATGAATCGTGTTCGTATGTTGCCGAACCGAAAAATAATAAATATGCTTACTCCAAAGAAAGAAAATTCGACAGCAACGACGAACCTGACGAACCCGAAAATACTCAAAAAGCAGAGAATCCAGAAAAATCTCAAAAACTTGTGGACGGTCAAAAGGACGCATCGAGCGTAAAAAATTACGGTGACGAAGGAAAACCATACGGTAATTACAAAAATGACGATGACAATTCCGGAAAATATAAATCATACTATGTGCACACATCGGCGCCCAAACCTAGCGAAGCTTTAAGAGCGGCTGAAAATCAGAATGATTCTGAAGAAAATAAAGAAAATAAGCCCTACGATTATAAGAAAGCCATTCCTGGATTTTATACCGACACCGAACAAAAGAAGGACGTCGAAAATGTATTAGCAGAGTTTAAGAAAAAAGATAGGTCAGCTTGTAAGAAAGTGCAAAAGAATGGAATGACCTGCTTCCAATGTATTGATAAAAATGGTTTAAAGCATGAGGAATGCATGTTTGTGTCTGAGTCAGCGCCGAAACAAAGTCATTTAGCGTATCAAGAGGTCAAAGAGTTTACTTCCAAACCCGCTACCCTTGACGATGGAAACGAAGCGGCAGCAAGTCAAACTGTGACGAGTTCCCCGGCTAAATCTGCAGCATACGTCGTCGCCAACAGCGACTACGGCAAAAAATTGAAGCACAAGAAAGCTTCGCAGGGCACTCTCGCCGCGGCCTCGAGCCCTATCGCCGCGGTTGTACCCGATGTCATAGCTTCGGTTCGAAACCCTGTAAAATCGCACAAAGTTAAGAGAAACGAAGGTTCTCAAGCAGAATTAAATGCTCAAATTATTGACGAGACTAATATCGCGCCGCCCGAAGAGTTCGCCGGAGCCGATTCCAAGGGCGCTTTTTGGGCGGAGACCATGCCGCGTTATAGCGCAGCGTTAGGCGTCTCTCTTCCGGAATATATGCTGTCGAGGTCAGAACATGAAGCTCTCTTCGATGAATTTGTTGCGGGAGCGTAAATAGGAAGAAATCTTTAAATGTTACCTAATCGTAAAATATTAATAGAGCATGTCTATTGTAAGAAACTGAGTTCATCGATATCGGAAAGTACCGCGTATTTACTTTCTGTTGTGTAATTTGATTTCACGGAATGATTTTGTTATAAAAAAGAAATTTAAATAAATAAACTAATGGAGAGATAGACCGAGACCACAAATGACTAATACATAATATTTCGAAACTATGAAAAGTGCAATTGTTAGTTGTATGAAATCCTTACAGGATTTTCAATTTGTTGTTGACTAGTTTTAGGTTTTTTACGTGTAAAATATATACTATGTTCTTTTTATAGATCAGTGTTTTATTTACTTTAATAAAGGTCTTTTTTAAAACGATTTAAGTGAAACAATAAATATTTTAAAGACAAGTTACTTTTAATGTTGTACGTTTTTATGTTTATAAAAAAACATATCAAAACATAAAGCTGTGTATAACATACATTAGCCAGCATTTTATTATTTTTATGACTATGACGTGCTAGGTATAAAAATACTAGCAGTTGGTGCCTGGCGCCGTCTATGAGCTATTCACGTACATACATTCTGGTGTTTTGTCTATCTGTCCGTCTTTATATAACTAGAATTTTCCACTGCGATTCGATATTTTCGTACGAATACTTTGTATATGTTTAAAAATATTTTGATTTTGAATTTTCTATTTAATGTATTGTCTGAAACATAACCGATTCCGAGGTAGTAATTAAGATTTTATTCATCATCCGAGAAATCCAGGTATTAATGAACAAGAAATTTAGAAAATCTTTTAATTATTTCTCCTAAACGAATAGGTATTCTCACGATTTACAAGATAAAATATCTCAGATAAGTTACACATAAGATCTAGAATTATTTTTTAGTTGGCAATTTAGTTGAATTAGTTGGTAATTATGCAAAAAAGGTTCGTACTAACTTCTGCTGTCTGTTTAATAAGTGTGATGTCAGTCCTATTACCTAATTATAGGCCAACAACGTAGCTATACCTTTACAAAAATGTGGTAAATGTTTTATGGTAACTTCTATTGATTGCCAATAACCTATAAATACTAGGAGATGTAGACATATTGCGAACTAAACGTTATTGTTTTGGTATCGATGTTAGGTTTATAAAGTAGTTCAGAGTTGCCGAATCTGAATTGTTGGCATGGTATTCGGTCAGCGTGCTACATGTCGAACATTCGGCCTGTGTTCTTATTTTTACTGGTCATTGTCCAACATACGTCAGAAAGGAACACTCTCGGGCGTATCGCAGCCTCACAAAGACGTAGAAAGTAATTAATTTCAGTCGTTACTTACCCTTGCATCCGTCCGCTTTGCTACGATTATAAATAAAATCGCATCAGATCTGTAGCCAGTTATAAAACGGATTTGTTGTTACCACATCACGCGCAAACGCCAAAGAAAAAGTGAAGATAATTTTAAAACAAAAGAAAGTAGTTTCTGAACGTGAGTGAGACCAATTTTGTGTTTTAATCCAAAAAGTAAGTACCCACTTAACTTTATTTATATAATTAAAATTGTAAACTTGATTTAAATATATTGCAATAAAAACATCTCTACTAAAATTATAGCACGTTTTTACAAAATTGCATTGAATCTGAAATTTTCGATTTGTTTCGAAACAAAGTACCATTGCATTATCGATCGACTGTGAAAAATGATTTCTTGATTGTTTGCCAAGACACAATTGATTAAAAAAAAGTTATTGCGTAGTGGTTTCCCGCCGTCTACAAGATGTTTATTTTTGTCGAGTAAATTGTTTTGTAAATAGAATAACAATAATGACGTGATAGTAGGAAATCGTTAAGCGCTCTGAAATACTCAAAACAACAAAGTCATTGTTTTTCGGTCTTACCAGAGAAGATATATTTTTACATTTATTTTTTTTCCAGCATGTATACTAAAAAGAGAAAAGAAATATTTGATTCTACCTATACAAATTACCTATGACACGATTAGAAAAATGGTCTGATATTAATCATCGATAATGCTTTCTAAGAAATAGTATATGAAACAATAAAAACGAACTAATGGACATAGGTTTTCGATAAGTTAACTCTTTCATATCCCATCAATATTATTTATAATCGTTTATTACTTTATAGTTTCAATGGCGGAACAATACTCAGATGATGAAGAAACTTTGGACGTACGCACTCTGCCACTAAGACCGCCGCGACCTCTCCTGCCGCCGGAGAAGGCAGTGCGCCGCGCGTGGCATCCTGTCATGTGGGATGACCATAAAGATACTGCGCAAAAGAACGACGAACCTGAACAGGTAAATAAGTTTTCACTATTTCATTTCAACGATCAGTACCAACTCTGGAGAAGCGCATTACAACTGGAGAAATGTTATCCCTTAACATCAAATGGCATTGTGGTCTAGTGCCAGTTTATGGATACGAAAGCATGTTGTATCTGGGTTTGATGTATCGTTACTACGATTTTGTATAGTGCCGACGCAATAACTAGATGTAAAGGGGTGCCTGGGCGGGGTACATCTGAGCGAGAGCTTTGTGGTTACTCACCTATAAACCAACAGCCTTTCGACCTATGATGCCAGCAGTTAAACATTTGAATCTTGTAATTAGCATGTTCAACATAATCGAATCTAAAAATATCTGTCACAAAAGTTTTCTTTGTTTCAGTCAGTTCAGTCGCAGCACGGCTCCCGCGAGTATCCGCACACACAACGAATACAGAACTTGCGGAGATTGATAGCCGAAGGCAAGGTCAAGCCGGAATCGGAAACACTTATATTTTTCCTTTGTAATAAATTTGCAGTTTCCGATGATAGACGGAAGAAATTTGAATAATCCATCACGTGTAACCTTGCAATTCAATTGCCGAAACATGTATTGGAACATATTGTCCTTTCTTATCAAACAGAATGAGAAGGGTGATGATATGTTATTATACTAGTGTCGCCACAATGGAAATTCAGTTAGGAAAGCCTTTAGACCATACTAACGAAATAACAAAAAGGCAATTACTATCCACAACAATGATATTTATAATTTGTGTATATTTTTATAACCAACTATAGGTGTGTATTTTTATAACTAATATTTAATTAAACATTTTAAATAAAATCTTTAGCTTTTTTTATAAGGTTGTTAAGGAGTAAGCGGCCACGTGAATTCGCTGAAATAACGAAGCGATCACAACCCATATTTTAAATTAATATAATAAATTTTACTATAACCTACTTTTAATCGTCGGAGTAGTGGAAGTTTATACACGTTACGACAGAGGCTATTAGTACCCAAAATGATTTGTGGCAGATTGCAGCCTGCAGATATAATTTGCTAAATTCAAAGCTAAAACTCAATTGACCTTGAATTTTTAATATTTTTATTTGTTCTTCAGTTACCTACCAAAGGAAACAGAATTTTTCTATTATTTATAACTTAAACACGAGGAGAACGCCACTATATCATGTATGTATTTTTTGTATATTGCCAATAGAAACAGTTTCTGATTATTTAGGGTTTAATAAAAAATGTTTATAAAAATCTAGCCTTAGAACTTTAATGTTTTTTCATTCACTGAAATGCAGTTTATTGCAGTACCCTTTCATATGAACATAATAGATAACTCTATGTTACATAAACGCGAATATGTATAAAAATTATGCAGTATTTTTATATGTAACAGGCCCTAAACAATAAGAAATTGACCTATGTGAGAGCGGCCGCGCGCCCGATACCTCGACGTATGTACTAATCGTGCGAATCATTGAGATGTCAATAGAAATAAAAGAAGAATACATTAAAAAAGTCAAGTCCAAGTTGTTACATATACTTTATATTCTTCATAAAAATTATCTACACACGAGACTTTTAATATAAAACAAAAACATATTTCTCAAATATAACTTAAAGAAAACTTAAGATTGCCGTTGTCACGAGACCGATGGCGGCCGCGGGGAGGCGGCGCGGGGGACGCGGTCCGCAGCTCCACCTCGGCCTCCCCCCCGCACCCTCTCTCCGCGATGCCTCACATCACCCTTCAATAAATAAATCAATTTCGAAAATAAAATAAAACGAAGGCCGGGCGACGAGCTCAAACGTTTCTAATTTTTGTTTGGTAATCGTCCATCATCCGACGGCGAACAATTCACGACATAACACAGACACACGCACACGCGCACTAGCCCGCGGCCGACATCGGCCACGTTGCCGCTGCTTCGGAGCGTTCCTACCGCAAGGAGCTTGCGATCCGATCCATTGTAAGTCCTCACGAATAAGTCCACCAGTTTGTGATGAATATATATTTGTTCTATAAACGTCATAATCTATAATCGACACTCGCGGCGTCGCGTGGTCTCGATCGACGAGACTACCGCACGCCGGCGGCGTCGGCAGGGGCAGGAGGTGCGACGTCATCGCTCGGTGTCAGCTGCGCCGGCGCCGGGAGAGCGTCTGACGCAGCACAGGTGTGGCGGGCCGCGTGACGTCATCGTCCGCCGAACGCACTAGCGGCGTGCGCGGGGGCGCGGGGGGCTCGCGGCGGCGGCTAGGTGGCGGGCGGGGGAGGGGGCGCGGCAGGCGCCGGCCTCGCCCCCGCCTCACCCGCGCCCCCTGCCGCACCCTGTGGCGTAGCCCCGCTACCCGCCTCCTCTTCCTCTTCCTCCTCGGGGTCGAACTTCAGCATCAATTGCTTGAACTGTAACATTTACATGTTATTGATTATCCTCTTGTTGACTCAGTACCGCTATCCGGAAACAACTGTCATTGAAACTTAGTAACGATTAAAAGGAGACATGTACCTCGAGGTAGTCGTCGACGAGGCGGCGACGGCCGTCCTCGTCAAGCTCATCCTCGACGTGTTCGCGCGCGGCGGCGCGGAGGTGCGCGATCGTCACCTTGGGCTCGAACAGCGGCGCGTGCCGCCGCGATACCGCCTTCTCGTACATTTTCACGCTCTCCGATGGCGAATACTGGTTAATTTTTCTATAGCAAAAACAATTATTACTTTTATTTTTCAAAAAAAATGCGTTTCAATGTTAAATTGTTTTATCAAATCAATGCATTAATGTAGTGCTATTTGTGTGGATACTGACGCATCGGTGAAGCCGTATTGCTGCTTGAGATGCTGCTTCAGCACTAGGAGCAGCACGCAGCCGCGAGCCTGTCGCATGGCGTCGCGCAGGGGCCGCGTGTTGTGCGGCAGCCGCAACAACAGCGCCTCCGCCTCTTCCTCGTCCTCCTCTTCATCTAGAGACTCCTTCTCTTGCTCAGCATTCGGCTTTATTAGACCCTGCATTTTTAATATAGTAGTCTTATATATTTACACACGATACAATTTAGTAGCAATTTTTAAATATTTCAGGTTTCTTACCTCTCGAAAAAGTTGTAGTAAATTAGACCCTGATGTGGATATAATTATATCTATATGATGTATGATAAAAAGTGGTTCGTCTTGAACTTGATATGGAAAGTAACTAAGATTATCTGCCAGGTACAACATTTGATCTAATGGTGCCGTCTGAAACAAAAAAAATACAATGATTATTTATATATCACAAAAAAATGATTTTTCCTGCCAACAAATAAAAAAAAGAAACAGTTTTATTGCCCATCTAACACAATAGAATTAACCAGTATGTTATAAGCATATAAATAAGTTATAAATCAATTTATACAATAATGTTAACTTACAGAGACGTCGTCGAACTGTTTCAACAGCGACAGTACCAACGCCCGCCGCTGCGGCCTCGTGTTACGTAACAAAGAGTATAAAAAACCGTTCAACGATGTAGGGAGATCATCTTGATCTTTCTTCCTGTAATTTAAAACATACTTTATATTAATTACAGCGAGAAATTGAATTTATATTAAAATACAAATAATATAGAATTTTTCTGTTTTCTACTACATTTCTACTTCCGTTACAAGACCGACCAAATTTAAGAAATCATATTAAAATATCTGGTTTGCTTATGCAAATGTTAAAGAATAATAGAGGTTTACATCTGCATATTTACCTAAATCCTCTTATAATTCCTTTATCAGTTTTATTCTGTAAGATCTTCTGCAGCTGGTAGGAGAGCTTGATGCCGAGCTGTGCCTTCATGTGTATAAAGCCGGGGTACTTTTTGTCGATGTCCTGCAGGTTCTTGTCCGCCGTGTGAGACACCGTCACCTCAACGTCCGTACTCATGCATATTAAATATGGTACGATCTGCAAATTTTCAAATCATTTAGTTATTAACTACATTTGATCTCCTACCTTCGTTTTTATTACCCAGTAAAAAAAATAATATTCAGTACAGATAATGTATTTGCGTAGCTGATAAAACATTTTATAAACTGTTGTATCTCTGTCTGATTCTTTGCTAGGCCGTGTTTGCTTTGGGTTATGTCGGAAACGGCTTAATTGATTTTCACGGGAATTCACGGGAAGGTACCTGACGCACAAGGTCATGTTATAGGCTACTTTTTTCTGCGCTGACGAAGTCGTGGGCAACCGTATGCTAACCTAACCATATGCGAATCAACTAAATAGTGAGTTTCTATTGACATCGTTCAGTAATCTTACCTGTACAGGGTGCACGAGACCCTGAGCGAGCACGAGCTGTACGACCTTCATGGCGCTGGAGCGCACCACAGTGCTGGGATGCAGGAACGAGCCAAGGATTTCCTTCAGGTACAGCTGGATTACTGTCGACGCCATGCCCGATGACACGTCGCCCATCTCCTTCAGGTTCTCGTGCTTCGAACGTTTTGACCCTGACAAATTGAATACAATCCAATCTAAATAACTACACGAACACTATGAGTTTTATGATATTTATTATGAAAAAATTAATGATTTTATTTGTAAATTAGGCACTTATGTAAACAAAAATGAGCTTTTTGAAATAAGCTAGGAACTGACCAAAATCAAAAAGAGAGATTCTTGAACGGCAGATAACTTTAAAAATGTATATATAATCGATCGATTGTAAATATTTAAATACTTTGATGTTTTTTTAGTTAAGAAAGAATTAATAAATATTTATTTTTTATTTTTAACCAATGTCTAAAGTGCTTACATTCTTTGTCCTGTCTGATCATCCTCTGTTCTTCTTCCTGTAGATACATCTCTATATTCTTTAGTACGTCTGCCTTCATCTCGATGGGCGCGAGGTCCGAGGTGAGGAGTTGGTGGTAGAACTCCTTGAGGTCAGCGCGCAACATCAGCTCGTAGTGACGAACGCACACAGACCCCAGTGCCTTCAAAGTGTGCGAGACAAAGTCCTCGTCGTCCAGGGCCACGAAGAACATTAGTGTGCCAAAAACTTGCTCCTTTATGTCACTCTAAACATACAAGAACAATCTTTTATTTCTAAGTCAAAAATTGATTATTTGTTTTATATAAAGTCAAATAATCTAATATTATAAATGCGAATGTTTAGATGGATGGATGAATGTTTGTTTGAAGGTATCTCCGGTACGGCTCAGCAGATCTTGTTAAAATTTGCATAGACATAGGTCTGGAAAAACATATAGGCTACATAAGTTTTTATTAATTCCGCGCGGACAGAGACGCGGGCGACAGCTAGATTCGTAATAAAAAGCACATAAGCATCTAATCTATTAGCCTATATGTCCAAGCAACGCCGTAAGTTTCTCGTACTTGCGTTACAATCATACAGTACTGTGTAATATTATTTTTTAAGGAGATTTTATTTCATACGGATCATATTATACATACCGACAATCCTTCAATAACTCTGTTGTCAGTGAAATCAAAGTATCGTAGGAGCAGGCCGACGATGAATAGAGCACGGCGAAAGTATGGCCGCGAGGGCAACGACCGCGTCAGCTCCGGATTGCGCTGCCAACTGCTCTTCCACTGGAGCAGCACACCTGCGTAAATCAAACAGATTCATTATATACAAACATATCTATAGGAACGCGAAAGAATAAGCGACAGAAAGAAAATTATTTTAAGTCAAAAAGTAATACTTGGAAACAAGAAACAATTTAGATCATAGAATTTCTTAAAGGAAATATTATATTAAGTTCATAATCCCGTCACGTCAAAAAATGTTTCAAATGGCACTCACCATGGTATTTATTAAAGACGTCTCTGATGAGTTTATAATTGTGCGTTAGATTGTTGACGATGGCGGCGAGGCAGGCGATGCAAGCGGCGATAACGAGCTGGCCGCGCTGCAGGATCAGCTTCACCGCGTCCTCCTCCAGCTGCGCCAGGAACACCTCGCTCGGGTGCTCCATCAGTGGCACCACCAGCTCCAGTGTTGAGGCAACCGTCGACATTATCTGCTGCTCGTATTGATTCTGCATTCAACAATTCATATTTCATTACAAACACAAAAAAAAAACAAAGTGTTACAAAATTGAAAAACTTTAAAAGAGTAATCATGAAAAAAGATTCAATTAGTAGTAGATAAAAAAATAGGAAACATGAAAAATATAATACCTGACATTTTAAGCTGAGATACGGTTGTAAAGTTAACGCGTGGTTAACAAGAAGTTGTGGCCGGATTTTTGCAAACAAATGCAACGTGGAAAGACACGCCAATATACGTTGCGAAGATCCAGTACCTGAAAACAGAAATTTAATGTTTTAGTATTTTATTCCTTTTTTTCTCGTAATAAATAAATTATTTTATTTTATTTTTTACCATCGGTTTCTTCTAACTGAAGCAAGTTCTCAATAAGGCAGTCGACAATTTGTTGACAAGCGACTAGCAGTGATTTCGGCGGCTGATAAATGATTTTAGTTGAATCTTCTTTATCCTCCTTGGGTTTGAATAACTGAAAAATCAAAATTTCCATGTCTTAACGTAGTCCATATATTTTCAAGGTTATTTTGCCCAGATCCAGCATTAACAAAAGAATGATATAAATAAAATGTATCTTACACTAGTGAGTAGCTGCTGAAACCACTCGAGGCCCATGTCCCTCGAGGATATCACCACGTCGGTGATGTTGAGCACCTTCCGCGTGAGGGGGTCTGCGGCAGCGGCCGTGGTGTCCAGCGCGCCCGGCCGCGATGTGTTGGGGCACGGGCTGAACCACATGTTCTGGAACACCTCCATCACCAGCTTCCTGATGCCCTCCTCGTCGTTCACCCGCCTGATCATCTTCACGCATATCTCCGGAATCTTCGGAAATTCCGGACATTCGATGCAAATGTCCTTCAGTATTTTTATCACTCTCTTTCTTACTGAGACTCCGGTGTCCTAAAAAGTGAATAGTTTTTAGATATACAGAATTTAATAAGCAGTGCTTTTATCAATAAAAAAAAACTTACCAATATTCGATTGGAGAGCATGCCATAGTACTTGTCTATAAGGTCAGGCCTGCTGAGCACGAACTTGCCGACGAGGTCGACGGCCGCCTCCCGCACCGCGGTGGACTGGTCGAGGAAGGACCTGTTCACGCCGATCTGCATGTCGGGCCGCGCCAGCACCGAGGGGTCCGCCTCCACAATCATAGTCAGGCACTTCATCGCCTTCGTTCGAATGGCTATCGTGTTCTCGCAAAGTATCACCAATATCTTTCGGAGATATCTGTCGAAACTTTGCGAGAATGATCGCTTAGAGGCGAGATATTGTGATATCAGTTCGGCCCCGCTATAGTCGATGTAGGACTGCATCACCTGCACCTGAGTCCCGCCCTGGTACCTGAAGGGTCGGATCTTCTCGAGAAAGAAATGTTTCCGCCGCTCTATCGTCTTGAACTTCTCCGCGGACATGACGGCGCTCGAGGAATGTCTCTTATCGACCTTCGATTCCTTTAATCCGCTGTCGCTGTCGTCGTCCGGCTCGGATTCTTCGTCGCTGGTCTCGTCCTTGTATCGCTTCTTCGATTTATTTTTCGGCCTTTTCGTCGGCGATGCTTTTGGCTGGATGACCATGTCTCTGTACCACTGCGTGATATAGAAATGTCTTGCGCAGTTCCAAGCTTGGTCCTTTTGTCCGTTAATCGCTAAATAATCTAATAAGACTCTCTGTAAGAATTCAGTCCTCTCTTCATCTTCGTCCAGTCCAGATGTAGTGGTCTGTTTATTAAAGAATACATGATATTACACTTTGAACAAATAACTTTGTAATTGTATCAGCTGTAGTTGGACACGGTACCTGGGTGTGGCCGGCGTCCTTCTCCTCCTCAGCGCGTATGTCCCTGACGACAGCATCCATGGTGCTGAGCTTGGCGCGCGAGTGTACGCTGTCACGCCGCAGCCGCGCTGCCACCAGCCCCAGGTACTCCAGCGACGCTACGCGCACCGACATCTCCATTGACTTGTCTGACATGTACTTCACCTGCACAAGTATATTTTCATTTCATTTATGGTAATATATTTTTTTTTTCATGTTTTAATTATATAAGATTGTTCAAATAAATAACATTGAATTATTTTAGTTCAGTTCAACTCACCAGCATAGTTCCGAGCAGACTGAGAAGTAGTTCAGTGGCTGGCCACTCGGGCTTGTTAACAGTGGTAAGTAGGTCATGCACAAAGTTCTCAAATAGAGGTCTAAAATCTACCTCCTCTGATCGACTTCTGCACTTGTTGAGGAATGACGTGAGAAATGTACCACCTACGCTAATTGCCGCTTCGTACTTAGATATAATTATAAGATCTTTATCTACTTGCTGTAATTAAAATAAAAATGTTCATATGATAATGGTTATTGACAAAAAAAAATTGAAACATTTTTTGTAATATTAATCTAATAATGATTCATGTTATTTTTCAAATAAAATTCTAAGAAGTATATGGGTAGGTATTAATTAGGGCTTTGTCACATCTAATTAGGGTAGACAGAAGCTCTTCAGTCATATGTATATTTTATTTCACTTTTCACTTACTTTTTTGTTGTCAGCTTCGCTGTGTTCCTTGTCTTTCTCCTTATCCTTGTCTTGTGTTTTGCACATGGTCTCCGGCAATGTGACGACACACTGCACCAGCTGCAGAACCAGCGCCGTCAGCATCTGTATGTGCTGGTCCGAGCTCAGTTGGAACGAGCGCAAGTTGTGTTTCGAGCTCGGTATTCGAGCTATCGACGCCAATATATCTTCTAGTAAGAGTCGTCTATGTTGTTCGTATTTTGAGAATATCTAAAATGAAAAAAAAATAGCATTAATAATGAAGCTATTGATATTATATTTAGTTATTAGTTGTTGATAAAAATTATTAATTTATGGAAGCCTTTATTTTCAACACTTATGTGTTGAATAGTTTATATTTGTGTATAAAATTAATCATAGACAGAAAAAATAGCAAATACGCCTATTACTGAGTTAACAGTTTACTTAATTTATCAGAGGACGTGAAAAACCATACGAAATACAAAAAAATCTTACCGTGGTTACAAGCTTCAATGCTGACAGTTGTAATTCACTAATATTTTCAACAAAGAAAGGGGACACTCCGACAGTGGAGGCGTGCAACACCGTGGTGTCGGTGAGGTGGTGTGCGGCGAACAGCTCGGCGAGCAGTGTGACGCACTCGTGCGCGTGCGAGTACAGCTCGCGTACGGCTCGGTTCGACCCCGACCCGCCCCCGCTGCGCCGCGTCGCGTTACCCGCCCCACCCCCGCGACGCTTGCGACCGTCCACTGCGAATTATTTGTTTATCTTACTAATATTACAAATGCGAATGTATCGATGTATGAATGGATGGATGTTTTAGAAGGTATATCCAAAACGGAAAAGTCAGATGTAAGTATAGATGTAGTCCGTTCGCGCGAACGGAGTCGCGGATGACATCTAGTTATATTATAGAATCAAACACATAATGCTTTCAATATAGATGTAGACCAATGTTTTAAGGAAGTAACAACAATCGGTGGATACTTTACATCAAATCCACTCTAATTAGTTTCAAATTCAAATAAAGAAATGAAATAATAAAATTATGTTTACCTTTCTTTTTGTATGTTGATTGAATACTATATACAGGATCGTAGACACAATATATTGTGTTGTTAAGTTGAAACTTTATAAATAATATAATTCTATCTATAACATCTTCTAGGAATATCCTCTTGGGCATACTCGGTGACGTCATTATGTACAAAGCCGTGAGGCAGGCGTCAGACGCACACATCACTCTCTCTAGCGCTGATTCTATCCAAATTTGTCGCATTTCTTCACTGTCTTCCTGTAATTTAAAAAAAATATATATTTATAGGAATTATTAAAATTTTATAAAATTAAAATAGGATTTTGTACTTACAGGATCACCTAATAAAGACATTTTCTCAGCAGCTCTAATATTTTTTTCCAATATGCTTAACAATCGAACTAATCTATCACTCGGAATGGCTTCCATAGCACCAAGATTTTTTAATTTCGCCGCTTCTGAGCACAACTCTTGCAGTTGATAGCGGGGTAATAATAATTCTTCAGGAATTTCGGGTCCCTCTGAAATTATTAATAATAATTTAAATTTCCTAATAGAAAATATGCATATTCAACACCAAAACATTAAAATATACGAATTATTTATGCTACATTCTCAATCAGGACATAAACAAGCACTAACTTAGCATATCAATATTGATTAAGGAAGCACATAAAATATTTTAGAATTGAAATCATTAAAAATTAGATTTTTTTGTGTTTTAAACTTTGCGTAAAATGGATTAATTTCTCACCCATTTCATCTGTTATAATAACATCATCATCAATAGTTTCAAATACAGCATCAATCAATTTGCTAAATCTCTGATAAGTATTGGTTTCCATTAGTTCATCCACTGACAGCATTTCAAGTACAGGCACAAGCCTCTTCTCTACTTTACGCAGTTTTGGTCGAACTGCAACAAATTTTTTTAACAATTTTAGACATAAAAAAACATCATATACATATAGAATTACACGCAGTCGCCCTCGATTTCCTCAGAGCAGAATTAAAAATATAAGTAGCCTATAAAATGTCCGAGTGCAACAGCTCTCGTCAAAATCCCGACAAAATCGGTCCATCCGTTCCAGAGATAATCCGTAACAAATGCGACATTACGCACAGACGTACCGACAAATGTTAAAAATTGTTTTTTGATTCAGCAACACATATGTTTACGATATATGCCTTTTTTTCGAGCTTATATAGACACTACAATTTGAATTATATGTATAGATTTAGTGTTAGAAAAGTTTTTTGTTGCATATAGGGATATTTGATACATTATCTATGAGTATGTAAAAAAAATTCATACCAATAGCAGCCTCAGCTTCCTCCTTTTTACTGGCTTCTTCATGTTTTCTCTTCACAGCTTCCCAATTCCTCTCCCGAGCTAAATCAATTGCCTCTCTTTCTTTATCTACAGTGGGATTAGAGACAGTTGATTTTGCCTTCAAAGGCAGATTGTCATCCGAGTCAGACTCTATTGCACTACTTTTTCTCGATCGTCCATCATTTGCAAAATCATGCTTTTTTAAAATTCCCTCCTATCAAAACACAAAGAAGTCAATAAACACATATAAATAGTAGGAATATTGAATATTGTATTACACACTTATTACAAAAAAAGTATGACAAAAATGTAACATTAAAAAAATTAAATTACAATATACTCACAGAAAGGCGGCCAATTTTGACAACCGGATATTTATTATTCATGATGTTAGGTGTTTTAGTGGACAATTCCAGTTTATCTTGTGTGGTGGATTGCTGCGGGGCGTACGGCGCGCCCATTGATGGCTGAGGTGCTTGCGGCTCGTGGCGCAGAGGTGAAGGTGCTACACTGGCCTGTGCTGGTGACTGACCCGTCATTACATTACCATCTAAAAATTTTGTTATTTATTATTTACTCTGTTTCCATTTTTTCTTTATCTTTTATATACAGGTGTACATATAAGTCTAAATTTTAAAATTTGATTTATGTCAACAATTCATACCAAACATTAATGTTAACTGTTAAATAAAAATACACATTTTAAAACTGAATAAAGTGTGCATTCACTTGTTTGTGAAGTACAATTTTATATGGCCTACTCATATTTAAAACTGTCTTAAATATACTAGATGAATATTATTTATTTTAGGTTATTAATGAAAATTATGATTCCAATACACATACCCTGTTCGAATGGCTTTTCTTGAGTTTGTAACATTACTCTTTGTTGATCTTGTAGATTTCCTGGTGACATGGAAAGAGGATCTTTGTCTTCATTCAAATTGGTACCAAATCTATTGTCTTGTACTAGACTGTTATAAAATCCGCCATTTTGAGGATTAGTACAGGGTGTGTTTGATATGGGGCTTGTATAGATGTTGGATTGATTTGTACTGGTCCATGAGGGGGAGATATTATTTTGAGCTGTAATATTGACTTGTTGACCCGGCCGTGCTTGAGAGGGTGGGGAACCCATGTGGACATGCGGTGATGACTGACAGGGTGTTGCTAGCAATTGTTGATTTGGGATTGGACCCGAGTGTACTGCAGTTCCATGGGAGGATGGGCTGGAGTGTGCTGCACTGTGAGATGAATAGTTAAATGTTGATGATGGTGACATCCCATTGAACTTGGATGAATGTAAATGATTGCTCCAGTGATTTCTTTGTTCGTTCCTCTGATCAAATATATTTGGATTGACATTAAGGATTGCTTTTAGTAATTCCGGTGTATCCTGTTGTGGAGAAGGACTAACCGCATTTGGAATGCTTTCATCTTTTAAATCACTGTAAAAATAAAATCATATTTAGAGGATTATAAAAGGCAAGTGTACATTTCTTGATATGCCATCTGGGTGCCAAGACATGTTGCATACACCTGAAAATCACGTAAACAAAAAATTTTCATGCTAAAACTTACATGTGTTGTACAGAAGTTTGCATGAGGGATTGCAATAATAATGACACTAAGTTGTCATCTCTAGTTGCAAGTAGAATTGCCGCTTCTTCAGCAACTCTGGGGTGAAATAACTGAGACTTATTGTTTAATGTTGACGGTAAAGGTGTAGGTAGAGGTAGCACTGGTAACACTGAAAAATATTGATATTGTATCTCATAATTTATAAAGTTACATTTATGCAACTGTGAGTATTATAATATGTAAAAACTCGACAAAATATCATTGTGAGGTAAAGAATTTTTATCAAAACACCCTTAAGTCAGTTGAGGTAAAAATGTGCATCTAAAAGAACATATACAACTTCAGTTCTTATGGATTTCAGCAGCTTAAAAAGTACCACTGAATAATTTATTATTAATGTTGTAATATTAACTTCCAATATAGTGATTGTGACATTGTATTCTTAATTAAGACAACTGATATTACTTTGTGTAACCATATAGAGTTTCCACTGTATTTAAACTATAACAGAATGTTTTATTAGTTTTAAATACTGAGAAAAAGAAATCACACTGTAGATACATTTTGTAAGACAAGTTAATCTAAATAGCTCTAGCTAAACTGCTATATATAACTCTGTTACTAAGATTAATATCTTATTTTCAAATTACATATATAATTAATATCCATTGTTGTTTAATATTAAGGAATGGAAACTATTTGGTTTTTTTTTATTCATAGTACAATATGAGATTCTTACAATACATAGAATTGCTTAGAAACAAAAAATAAATTAGGTATGTAAAAGGATTGATATCCAAGATTAATAATAAAATATATTATTATAAGGTTTAGCAACATATAAAATGTAGTTTTCTTTTCAATGTGTGCTATTTTGCAGATTGCAATTCTAATTAATATCTAGGTTATAACAATTCTTCATATTTTCTCACCCGAAATCAACTTTGTGGGAGTGGGTCTTTTGGTAAAATTGTAATTTTAAAGGTCAATATTAAAGTTGAGGTAATAATTTATTTTAATCTTAAGTTAATTTAAAAAATAAAACTATCACTATTATTGAAACTGCTTCCTCACCAAAAAAACATAAGTATTACTCATTGAGCACAGTACTGCATACATATGTACATAAAATAAGAGTATGTAAGTTGTAAAATTTTAAGTATTATCAATTTACAAAGGGAAAATGTAATAAAACAATATTTGAATTAAGTTTAACAGAATATTTAAGAAATTCTACAAGTCAATAGGAAATTAGTTGTTAATTATCATTACAAGTACTTACAATCTGTCAAACTGGCTACACCTGCTAATGTTGTAATAGGGACACTTGGAATATCCCTCTCATTCATTTTGATCGGAATTTTGATTTATTTTTCCAACACTACTAGTGATATCCTAGAAGTCAAAAAGAAAGTCTTGGCTGTCGTATTGTAACATACACCATTAGAAGTTGTTTGCGTAGCCGCCGAATCCATTATAGTTTCATATTCACGAACGCGGCACTTAAATTGTTTAAGTTTTATTTCACATACTATACCATTTAAAATTCATAAATTATTTTTCCGAAAGTAACTAATAAATCCAAAGATTGTTGTGAAAATAGGGCACCCGTCAGTTTGATGCTTTGTTGTGCGTTGTGCATCAAAACGAAGGTCAGCGCATCTGGACGACACTCCCAGTGGAAAGTACTGAATGTTGTTCATTACAATCTAATTTTTTTCTTCTATTTAATACTTTCAAATACTCACAGAAACATTATGTTAACTATTTATATCCAGGACAAATCAAACATAATCCTAACATTTAGATAATCAAGGAATTGTGACTCAGTGTTACCAGTAATAACTTTATTTTACTGCAATAGTTTTTTGCTGGCGAGTAAAAGATTTTATACAAATTAATTATTTTCTACACTTTTCTTCGCTAAATTCTTAAATGTTTTAAGAGCAATTTAAATAATATTCATTCGCCAATACTCTAAATACTACTTAATAAGAATATAACATTGAACATGGTACACACTCGCATAAAATTTCTTTGGTGTTGTGAAATCGAAATTTAGATTTGCTTCCCCTATGTTAAAATACGTAAATTAATATGTATTAACTTACCAGGATATTAGAATGTCAGTTATACTTCTAATTGCCAGAAAATACAAAATCATTTTTATTGGGTAAAAAGAATAAACTTCATCAAACCGGTTTATAGGCTGCCCAGAAAAATAAACTATTTGCTACATTGTGGCAAATCTACACAACTAGTCCACTGTATTAGCGGCAACGATTGCATTAAAAAAATCGTTACCATGGCATATACCGACATTGTTGTTTGTATTAAAGTATTTTATTGTAATCACAATATAATTTATGGCTACCTGATAAATGGATGTTAAAATACATGCGTAGTAAATATAAGTTGAAAAGTATTTATAGTCACGTAGAAAAAAATGTGTAGGCAGTAAGGCATGTCGAAAAACTAATTATTAATTTTAAACAAAATGTTTCAATATCAAAAGAGATTGTACGTCTGTGCGATGTCAACTCAAATGTCATTTACAAGCAAGTAAACGAAGGATCAAGTTCAAAAGTTCAAAGTCAAATATTGGATAAATGAATACATGTAAACGGACAGATACAACAAAATTAACGTTTTTATAGTTCTCAGTACCTTATTGCAAGGCAATCGAAAACAAAATTGTAATATTCTTATTAACTGAATGCTAAAAACAATGAAGGTCATAGGAAAAGAATCTGCCCTTTGGTATCTCCAATATTTTGGCATTCCATTATCTTTGGGGATAGTATTGTATAAGATAATTAACAATTTTTCTTTACGTAAACGCAGAGCCACATTACAAGGAAAGGTAAGGCTTACCTGCGTGATAGTTGCTAATGTCATATAACCTAGAGAATCTACAATAGAAAACATTAACATAACATTTTCAATTATGTAAACATGCAACCAGAAGTGGTTTTACAAATTTATATTTACATTTACAATGTTATATATAGTAAATATTTCTTTAATTTTATCTAGGTTGTTGTGATTACTGGCGCAAGCTCAGGCATTGGAGAGGCTCTTTCCCATGTATTTTATCAGCAAGGATGTAAAGTAGTAATGGCATCACGAAGGAAATCCGAACTAGAAAGAGTAAAGCAAGATCTTATATCGAAAAAAATGGCAAGTATTTCAAGACTCTTAACCTTAAAATTATAATAAAAAAAATTAAACTTAATTTTTATTAATTTTAGCAGGGAATCAGTATTGAGCCTATTGTCATTGAATTAGATCTAGGGGAACTTGACCAACTGGAAAGTTTTGTAGATAAGGTCCACAGTCTTTGCGGACACATTGATATATTGGTAAACAATGGAGGTATTTCCCATCGTGGATCTATACTGCATACAAAACTTGATGTGTATAAGAAAATTATGAATGTAAATTATCTAGGGTCTGTTGGATTAACAGCAGGTACTATCTTTAGCATTAAGTTTGTATTTAGTGTAAGTTTTAAATATTAGTATTACTGTGTAATAGGATTTCCACAGAATAGTAAGGTTTGCACATTAATTCCTGATTTAAACTTGCTTTGTTTTTTAAAAATTTTGTCTTATTGTCGTAAAAAATGTTTTATTTTTTTATTTTAGCTGCTTTACCAAAAATGGTTGAAAGAAAAAGTGGCCATATAGTCTTCATAAGCTCTGTGCAAGGATTAATTGGTTTACCTGAACGTTCAGCATATGCTGGCTCAAAGCATGCGATGCAAGCATATGCTGATTCTTTACGTGCAGAAATGAAACAACATAACATCAATGTATCTGTAATAAGTCCTGGATATGTCAAAACTGCTGTTTCAATTAATGCTCTTACAGGATCTGGGGAACCACATGGAGGTTTGTATTTGGAATTAAAAATGTTCGTTTAGTCATAAATGTCATGCTTATTTAATGAGATGTTAAAGTTTTTCATATCAAAATCTTTTCTGATTTGGCATATGTCTGAATGGCATTGGATGTTACAATTTTGATTAAAAATCAATGTATTGTTACCAACCGCAATAAAACAGTGTTCTGCAGCAACTTGTGCAGTGTCGGTCACTTCGCTATTCAGCAATTTCAAGTGGCCGCTCGCTCGTTTGCCACCTTATGATATTAAAAAAAAGTGTTCTAAGTTGCTGAGATGTTTTAAAATCAAAATATAGAACTAAAAAAATATTTATTAGAGTCTAATTAAAAACTTTAATTTCAGTAATGGATTCAAGTACAGCTGCTGGATTTTCAGCCGACTATGTTGCGGAGAGGATTGTGGATACTATTGTTAATAAGGAAAAGGAATTGATAATATCTCAGTTTATGGGACATTATGCAATACTTGTTCGACGCACTATACCATCATTATACTTTTACTTTGTTGCGCGTAGGGCGGCAAAGACGTAAAGATGCGTTAATAGTTTTCCATTTAAAATTTGGATAAAGTAAAAACAGTTGCATTTAATTTACTCTATTACATTGTGATGGTTAAAAAATAAGTAATTTATTGATGGGATGATGTTCATTGACCTTTGAATTTTTCTAACATAATGTGGAATTTGTAGATCTTATAGAAAATATATTCATTGTCAGGGAATAGTGATAAATGTTAAGAAGCTGTGAATGCTAACCAAATAAAAAAAAATTGTATTTTGTTTTCTTTAAAGATTATGTTCACTATTAATTTTAATTATATCTTAAATATGAAAATAATGGAATAATTATAAGGTGTAAGCACTGATTTTATTTGTGTAAAGTGCATGGGCACAGCTTACTGGTGATGTCATTTTTGGTTATAAATATAATGGCAATAAAATAAATGAATACAAGTTATTTGTTATTAATCCCTTAATTACCTTTATGTAACGGTAAACAAAAACAGAAATTTGACTTTATAAAATAACACATTCTCGAACAAAATGCAAATAAAAAGTAACAAAATAATGTCAAGAATAACCTCGAATACTCTGTCAAAGGTACGTAATGCAACTATGTAGATGTCAATGGGCAGCTTTGCTATTTTGGCAAATACAAGTGGCCTGTGGCATATATAAAGATCTGGAAAGTTCTGTGAAAAGTTAAGCCTACTAGTGCTAGTTACAATATAAATACAAAGGATGCTGTTTTTAAACAAAATCTTATAAGCATAGACTCATTTGATCACATAGTTTTCTATGGGTCTAAATAAAAGATATGTTTCTTTGACACTTATTAACATGTTACCACTGTTAACAAGTATCATGTAATTTCAACAAAATGCAGTTACAACTCTTTTCCCTAAAGCAACCTTAAGAATAAAGAAATATTACTTTGTACAGGAATTATCTAATTCTATATTAAATAACATATACAATAACTGTAACCTTTTTTATACAACATATTTAATAACAATTTTCTACACAAGGCTGAGAAGAAACTTACTACAACTAATATTTTAATCTACTTTACTGATTAAAACATTTTAATCATAAGAATATTTTAATTCAATCATAGAATAGAATTTAATTTTTGTAAAGCACAAAACACCTATTCTGATTTTAAGCATTCAAATTATACCTAACACATTTTATTTAAAAATGTTGTATATTCGCCACAGGCAGATGGCAACTGCGCTAAAAGAAATAGTGCTATGTAATAATATTTTTCTTGTATTATCTGTGCGTACAAGGACAACTGGCGATGCAGATGTAAGATCACTCAGAACAGGCAGAGTTGCCAAATGTCTGCGATCTTTTTCTTCTTGATATTTACAGCAGGGATCCCATTGCCATGATAATGTATAACAACCAGCACATAGAACTGAAACTACTCCAAATGGAGTGCAGGCCAGTGAGCTCCAAACAATACCTGAAATTGAAATTGTTAAACAAATTATAAATTTGATATGAGTCCAGAAGTTAATATAAACTTTCATATTAAATATGTCAACATAGAAGAATGCAAGCGTATATTTAGATGAGAGAAAAGTCTTTTAAAATAATTAATTTACATTATTATTGTATGTACTTATTCTACGTGTAGTAACATTTTATGTTATATAACATAACTTTTCAATGCAGTACATAGGTCAATATGTTATCTGTTATCGTTACTTCCGAAAACATTATTAACAAGTACCAAAATGATGTTATTGTTAGAAAACTTATACTAATACACAAGTTACATCATTAGTTTGTACAACATACATTGAATTAACGACTAAAGTGTTTTAATTCTTTATATAAGACTAAAATTTTTACGATTTCTGTAATTTATGATACTTTGCTATGTACTAACCTGAAGTAATGCTACACAGTCCACTGTAAACAGAAACTTTATGAAGAAGATTTCCTACACATATCCATCTAGCTGTCTCTTCTCCAAGTGGTTCTGGTTCAATGACGATAACACTGACTCCAGCCTCCAGTGCTCTTTCCAATTCCATTTCAAATTTAATATGTGCATTTTCACTGTCATATACTTCTCTAATTATAGCTACACTGGACGGTTTCAGATCACTACAAAAAATATGTATTTTAAAATAATTGTAAAACTTTCATAATATAACTTTTTGGTAATAAATGATATTTATGTTAAAAAAAATACATATTTATCATTATAAGAACAGTAAATTCTATAAATTTTATTTTAAGAATCTATTATTTACACACCTGTCACTTTCATCACCCGCCATGTTAACTATAGACAAAATAAATGTCTATTGTCGTTGATAATTGGCATAAACAAGCACAATTCGGAAATCAACTTTATCTTTGATTACTCGATAAAAACTGTTCTTCGAGTTTCATCACAAAAAACTGAGAGTCTACTGTAAAAGTTTTCTTTTTGCGGTAGTTTGTTTATTTATATAAATACAAACCGTACAAATACCGTAGGGTTTGGTTTTTGATAAATAATACTGTTTTTTACTGGCACCCAACATTTTTGCTGATTCTACTGTATTTTATGTATGGTCATCGATAAACCCCAAAATATTCTACAATCCATAATAAAGGTTTATAATTTGAGCCATTTTTTACCTGTATTGAACCTCGGTTTATGTTCTCGAGTTATTAAGTTTATTCCAAGATTCAAGTAACATTGGAAGTGTAATTCAAGCTACAACCACTTCATCTACCACTATACTCCTACACATGAAGTTATTACATCAACATCCGTCATAACTTTACTCTTGATGGATCGTATTTTCTTTATATTTTGACGATCGATCTATTATGTTATTGATATTGTATTTCATCCTGGATAAAAATTGTTTACATTGAAATAACTCCTGAAGTGATTGGTCTGAATTTAAAGCGATTAAAAAAAATGATGACCATATTAAAGTGTAATAATAAAATATGCTTTTTCCTTCACTTACAACTGTCGCCCACAAGCGCCGTTCTAAAATCCGCTTTCCTGATTAGGCAAAGGTGAATGTTGCGAAGTTAGTTGTAAATTTTTAATACCGCTTAACTCGTTTGTACTTTGAAATTATTTTAAGACTTAATTCATTTTCCTTAGGTACATTTTGGATTAACTTTAAGTCACACTTACGTCATACATCGCCATTCACTCGGTCGCGTTTAAAGCTAAGCCGAGATACATATAAGGAGAGTGTGGGTGCAAGGCTGACCTTACAGGTACTGCCCACAGGTTTTTAGTAAATATTCGTATGATTTCCCGGCATCCCACGTTCAGATTTTATTAACACCTTATAGTTTTATTTCTTATAATTGATTTAACAGACCATTAACATTCAGATATCTAAACAAATAAATAAGATTTAAAATAATTGAAATTCTAGCGTGAGTAATGTTTTGTAAGTAATGTATTAATCTATAGTGTGCAATATTAAGCCAATACCAAAACTATCATGTTATAAAATACTTCACTCCGCCTTCGTGCTTAAAAGCACGACGTACCTTTAGGCTATTCGAGCTTTTATCAACAAATAACAATAGTCGATTGTTTATGGTGTGTTATTCTTTTTGTAAGTCTATGATTCTTTCGACACGCTAAGGAAAACATCTTTTAATCACTAAGTCGATACAGTCAAAACAAACATGTAGAATTAGAAAATACTTTAACAAAAACTTACACATGGGGAATTTCACAAGACAAAATAATTCAATATCGTTTAAGAAACAGATGGAGAAATATTTGAATTTAATTATATATTCAATATTCTTGTTAATACAGATGTTATCATAATTAGGCGTACTCATATACATCTATATATATAAAAGAAAGTCATGTTAGTTATACTATTTAAGAACGGCTTTGCCGATATGTCTGAAAATTGGTGAGGAGCTGAGAGCCCGGAGACGGACATGGGATACTATTTATTCATTTTTTTTCAAATTTATGTCTTGAAGAGCTGCTTTTTATTTAACTTACTAATATTATAAATGCGAATGTTTAGATGGATGTGATGTGGATGGATGGATGGGTGTTTGTAGATATCTTTAGAACGGCTGAACGGTTCTCGATTAAATTTGGCATACGTATAGAAAATAGTCTGAAAGAACACATAGGCTACACTAATTAAGTGTTAATTCTTTATACATCCAAGAGGACGGAGTCGCGGGCGACAGCAAGTTAGTTATACATATTGTACACGATCAATTTAAGTTAAATATATTATTTTTGAATTATATGCAAACGATATACGTTGTGAGTATAATTACTAGATGCGTAAACAACATCGATGTCAGATAAAATTCATATGTATATAATTGAAGTGTTTCAAAACCTTTTATGATGCAAACAATAAAAAATTGATTAAGTCGAAAAATTGCGACCGGTGTAACAAACTGGTTATCCCAAAAAGTAAAAGCGAAGACTCGAAATCCTTTATTTTTATTCGTGGACGCTCCTTTCCAATGGTAATTTAGGGCTCGGTGGTTCTGAGAAAGCAGCCTTGAATACAAAGATTTTGGTTATTGATTCAATGTTATTTGAAGGTTAAAACTTTTTAGAGATCTCTCTCTTAAATGATATATGACTCAGAACGATAAAAAGGAGCGTTAATATGTATTGGAAAGGAATCGCATATGTTACGATTTGACGTAAGAAAAACTTTGTTGTCTTTATTTTAATGTTATTTTTACTATTTATACCTTTGGCGATATAACAAGGTACACTTATATGAAGGTTCTTTAAATCTAAAAATAACATAGTGAAACCGGTAATAATTTTTATTTTATCATAGTTGCGTATTTTAAAAAAAACGTTATATTTATTAACAAAGTTCGATAACGGCGTACAGAGACATATTCATTAAGCCATCTATGAAAGTAGGCTAAAATTAAACCTTTAAATCGGATATAGAGCTATCACCAAATGAAAAGAAATCAGATAAAGCAAGTTTAACTTTGTATTTAATTTATATGTTTAATATTATTTCGTTTCATAAAATAATTTCTTTGAAATGATAATATTAGGAGGGAGACTCCATGTATTTCTTTGTTCGATATTTCGGCTTCATTATAATTCCACTATCATGAGCGACTTTTTGTCTTCTCCTTACTTCGATACAATACTGCTCTGTTATATGACGAATAATGCATGACCAGGGGAATGTTTTTGCTGCAATTTTCTTTACTGCATATATGTAAGCATCGGCAAGCAAGTAAAACATTTGGCAATACTCGTGTCACTATATAAATTAAAAGTATACAAGACAGTTAGATTTGTTTAATATCTGCAGAGGTATTTCTGCCTTCTTTTTTATTATTTATTTTAATAATTAAAAAGAATTTTGAGTCTTTTTATTAAAGTATAGACATTTGTCATAAAGGAATATGCTTCTAACTCGAGGTTATAATTTATTTAAGCACGAGGTTAAAGTACAAATATAGCAAATCGCAACTTAAATATTAGTTTGCTATGTTAACTGCGCTATAAACGCTTTTCATAAAGGATCTCTTCGCTTGGCCATAAAGGATACTCCGAGGTTATAGCCCTCTCCGATTTCTTTTTTCATTTTATGGGCAGACATAATAGTGTAGAAATTGCTAGTGTGCAAATTGCCAGTGTTAAAAGCTGAACAGCTTTTAGGTTTATTTTATTATAAACTCGACGCGTAAAGTTTTATAAATAGAACATATTTACTATTTTAACAACTTTAATTATTTATCTGTCGTTATTACTTATTCTTCAGATTCTTATATCTAGAGTTTTTAAAGTAGCTTATTTACGAAAGCATTCTCTGGAGCTATTAAAAAAAAATTAAATCACAAACTTATTCTCCTTATAATGTTTGGGGTAGTTTCTTATTACTCTACGCATTTTGTATAATGTTTACATTTTCCGCACCGTTCATAAAGTGTACCGAGTTATTTTTAAAGAGACGTTTAGCGTCCGAACAGGAGGGCGTTAAACAAGTTTTTGTACCTTCAATAATATTAAAAAGAACCTTGTTTATGTTACAGTTTTACGATCATCTCTTCTCTCACTTTTTTGTCCAATTAAATTTGTTTTTCTTTGCTTATCAACTTCCTTTTGTCACCAATATACTTAGAGACATCTTTTGAAAAAAGGAATTATATGTAAGCTTGTCTGACCGTGGATTTACATTGCTAAACCACTTATTGTTTTCCCGTTCATTGTCTTAAAAAATAGTGAGATAAAAGTTGTTTTAAGGTTGTAGTATTTTGGATCAAAGGAAACCTTTGCATCGTAGACCACTGATTCTCTTACATCCTATATAATGTTTTTCTACAAAATGATAGTTGGTTGGGGGCATGACCGTTAGATAAGTTGCCTCGCTAGCTTGAGACGGAAGCAGCCGTATCCTGACTAGGAGTAGATGTCCGCATAATCACTCAAATGCAGCATTCGAAACCAGTATTCTGTAGTTTTAAACTGGCAACGTAACGTTTATGTTTTAATTGCTTCGATTACAATAACTAATGCAATGTTTTTTAAAGCATTGATTCATCGTTGTTCAATTTTATCTGAGATACTAACAAACCTTATTTTAGATTCCTTCCTTCTTGAAGCTTTCCATTTGGAATAAATCATTTTTTATATTTTTCTTGTATTCCATAATGGTTTTCTGCCTTAATGATTGCGGCAATTTTCTAACATTATGATTTATTGCTTTAACAATAGATGGTACAAAACTAATCTTGTTTCGAGATATCCATTTAAGCATCCTGCAAGAACTTGTGATTGGAAGTCCCGCTCTCATTATGATTCAATAATTTCGGTTTAAAACATTAAGAAATTGCTGTCAATTTATCTGCCCGTGAAATGGAATTTATTATATTTTATGTATTAAATCCCGGCTGTGACGCATTAATATGTTTGATGTTTTTGTAGTATTCGATCCTCGCATCAGATATGTATCTAATAGCAATAAGCGTACAGAAGCTAATTACATTTCTGGTTTATTTTTTGTGTCATATTGTATGTGTCTTTAGCTTGCCGTCTCGCTCTTGCATATATTAGGTGCGATGTTGGTATCGCGGCGTCATTTGCTAGGGTCCGTCCACTCCGCTTCCCCCTCCCCCGACAGTGTCTTCCCCCCGCCACGGTCACTGAGCACTCTGACCTCTTGCTGTGTCTACTAGAGATGTTACATCATTTTATACTTAGTTATCGTTATTGTAAAATACATGATTCGCAAAAAAACTTCTTACTTCAACACTCAACGTACGTTAATCGGTCTATGTGCGTGAATTTAGTATAAGAAATCTTTATTAAGGATCCTTTACTACTACTAATAAAATC